AAATAATATTTGTACAGGATCAAGCCAAATGTGGTTGTGAACATGGGATACAATAATCAATAACCTGAATATAATTTAAGGACAGTAATTCTTATAGTCATAATTCATAGATCAAAATGAAGCTTATAATAAGATGGATATACATATACACAATCTATATACGCGTTCTATTTTATAAATCTACGCCAAATGAAACAAAAATAGAGTTCATTACATTAAAGGCTTACTTTTCGGTCCAGACTACATTATCCCTAGACCTTCTAACATCAAAAACGTGATGGTACAAACCTAAACGAATGGTCTAAACATCATACTCACAAAACAAGTTAGTGGATATATGGGCTCAATAGCTGAGCAAATAATGTATTGATTTTTTGAAACGAAAGTTATAAGGTTAAAGTTTCATTCATAACATAGTCACTAGGTTGTATATAAGTCAACGTGATAAGCCCGTAGTAGGACAAAACCCACTTCTTTGGTTCCACAGTCAGCTACAATTCATATATTCCAAATATTCTTCTCCTCAAGCTAAAATGGATTAATTTTAGCCTTAAACAACAATGATAAGATTCAAACAATCAATTCCTTTCCTGATTTTATAATCTGAAAGTAATCATAATCACTGTTGGTTACTGTGCATATAATGAAATACGTTTTTAACAACCTTTTTGTGCTTTGTATGTAATCTCAAAATAATTCATTTGTAGTAACTACTTGAATTCAATTAACATTTCTGTTTTTAATCTTTGTATCAGTCAATAGACACACTAACATACCTTTGAACATACAATGTACCACCGTACATCAAACGATAAAACAAAATACCAAGACTTTATTTATCGTATTCTTTCAAGTAGACGAATATATGAATCAGTTTACAATGAATGTCTAGAAAAGTTTCCGCTTTTATGTTACTTTCTTTTCATCTATCTATCTCACCGGTGATGAAGTTAAGACAATCATTTTTATTTAATTAAAATCTAGTGGAGGGATGAAGTTAACAATCGTTAGTGAATAGTTTTAGGGATTGAATTCTCCTATCATCTAACTACTTTTAACAATATAAGTAGTATTAGGCAATAACTTATTAGAATTTCCGATTGAATTGTATTCACAATATCAGTATATCCCTGTCTAAGTAAGGTAATCTAGTGATGAAAAGATAATGAAAATAATTTCGCATGTATTCATTTTCATCAGAAAAGTTATGATCGTTTTACTCTGTGTTATGTGAAGTGAATGGGGATACATAAAATTTAAAAGATTCACGGTTTGTGTGTATACATATATATGGTATAATTAGAAAGGGTTTTTATGGAGATTTTAGTAATTTCATGGTTGGATTCGTGAGTCAATTGAAGCTAGACAACCATGGAAAATTTAGAAGCACTGGACGGTCGTTTTGGCTTAGTGTGAGACTCCTCAGTGGTGCGCATACACGGTCCCGCCCAGCGGGATTCGAACCCAATACCCATCGGTCTCGCTTAATTTCTAGACTACTGAGCGCACTGCTGAGTCCCACAGTAGGAACGAAACGGTCGTCTAGTAATTCTAGGTTTTCCATGGTGGTGGTGCAAAATATACACTAAATACATCATTTACACATCTTCCATCAAATTGCTCTCACAAACTTCATCGTTCTTTCATTCCTGTTGTTATTTTGATTTCTTTTAGTTTTCTCCTTTATTTTCTGTCCATTTCAATCTTCTCTACCTTCTATTCTCAAGCATTCCATTTTCGATAGATGCTACATACTACTTATATCAGTTGATATTATATAGCACACACCATCTATATATAGACATATATAATAGGTAATTAACGATAAAGTTACCAAGGTAATTTATTATTTTATAAATCTTAACTTATCATTAATCATTATTTTACATTCGAAAATATTTATTCTAACTATAATCAACCTATTATAATGTCAAATTGGGTTATGATTCAATGAATCGGGTCTTATATATTTGTACTTGTAATTTCAAATTGCAAAATAAACCAGGAAATGGATGGAACCAAAATAAATGAGTCCTGACAATGACATTCCAAAAGATTTATATGTTTATATATTCCAAAATTATACTGTTTTTTGAATGGAATGAATATATTTAACTCTGCGGAATTTATTTTTGTACTTATGGATTGATAAATTGTACTCTGAGATATTAGCTTAGCTAACAGTAGGTGGTTGTGGAGATTGTTATGTTTTTGATTGATATCATGAATCGATTAGTGTTAGACGACCATTGAAAACCTGGCAGCAGTAGACGGCCGTTTCGTCATACTGTAGGACTTCTTAGCATTGCGCATCCACGATCCCGCTGGCGAGGTTGGAAACAAAGGCCTTCAGTCTCGCGCGCTTTCGTGGATTGGTTGAGATTAGATATTAGCACTTTTGGATACTGGCTCAGTAGTCTAGAGGTTAAGCGTTCTCACGCGAGACTGAAAACTGTGGGTTTGAATTCCGCCAGTGAGATTGTAAAAACACACTTCTGAGGAGTCCTATAATTGGATCAAACGGCCGTCCAGTGCTTCCAGGTTTTCAATGGTGGTCTAACACCAATCGATTCACTATCTCAATCCTCTATTATATTTCAAGTCACTAGTCAGAAATATAGTATTCAATGGTACTATAGACAATATTGATATATCCATATATAGAGTCTAAATGGAACTGGTAAAGTTCAATCCTGAACAAGAGAATAAAGATTTTTGCGAGAAATAACATTATTATTTCATGTGAAGATTCATCAGTTCATTGATTTTTCAAAAATTTTCATCTAAAATTTTTTTCAGTTTCCTTCCTTGTTACCTATAAAATAAGATGTAATAAGTCAGTTCTTTCCAGAATTCCTATCGATTGAGACAAACTGTGTTCTTCTCATGTTCTTTGATTACATCCTATTTTCATATATACAAAGTAAACAAACTGGAGTATTTCTATATAAGCATATCATTAAAAACTATAACTGATTGATCATTAAGTAGTGATCAGTTTCATTTTTGCCTAGTTACATAGTACTGATCTAATTTTATGGAACAAGTTGTAATGTTATCATTAGTATAAGCAATTCAATATCAAGTTTACTATATGTTGAAATATCAGATGATTGAAGAAAGTCAGCAAGAAACTATATACCTAGGTTTCATAATAGTTTGTACTTGTAAGCAAGTTCAACCCGTATTCTTGAGAAAAATACAATACTGACGATTGCTAACAAGCATGGATTTCTTATTGCCTATCTTTACCCAATGAACTTGATGTTAAATGGTATTTGTGTAGATAATGTAATAGACGATGTAATGGTAAAACAGTAATTCATGTCAGTATATTATGAATTTGCACATTCTCATTCTTACTATTAATAAACTAGAATGTAAGTTTTATGTTCATCCCTTTATTAATATGAAATATTAGTCATTGGTATTATGGTTTGTTGATTTTTATTTATCCAAGACTTATTTGTACTTTATCATGTCTCATGATAATTATTATGAAGTTTTTAACATTTAATAGTTGATATCATGAGTCAATTAAAGCTAAACTGTGGTGTGGTTTACTTATATCCACATAAGTAGTATATAACGATAGTCAGGCAGAGAATGTATTTCCCTAGAAGATCGATAGCGAAAAAATCGAAAAGAAAAGCAATGAACAACAATAATCAGAGATGATGGACTGATATTTACAGTAGAAACGGTCAAGATTGAGACAATCGATTGGTAGTTTTCAAATTAACTATTTATTGTATGGTTGTCAGATTCAATTGTTCCCACTCGTGTTCTTGTTCAATACAAGACCACCATAGAAAACTTAGAAGAACTGAACTGTAGTCTAGCTTACATAGACTTATGATCTCATCTATTAAGATTACTTAAATATTCACAAAAACCCCCCCTTCTGGTTTTACCATTTAGTTAACACTAGAAAACTAAATGAGTTTTTTTTTAAACTTTTCCCTTACTATCCTTATTATGAATATCTATGGGATCAATCAACAAATTAATTAAAAAAAATTCTCTTTACAAGTAGAAAGTTAAATTTTTTTTCTTCTGATTCTCACCATTATGGATGACAAGTTTTTCTTCAAAAAAAAAGGGAGAGGAAAATGTCATAAAAGACACGGAGAAAAGAAAATGTATCCTGCCTAAGTCACATCATATAGATAGATATAACCCTGTTTTTAAATCTGATCCCAATGAGACAATCCAATTATTTTTTAGAGAGAACAATGCATCATTTAATTACTGAGATTTTTTTTCTTTTTTTTAGAAAAAAAAAGATGTATCCATGAGAACAAAAGAAGAAAAAGAATATTGATTTATTGATTACTTTTTTTTCTTTTCTCTTTAAAATGCCTATATATATATACCCATAATGAAAAATGTGAATTGTTCAATAATAATGAATAGATAAAGAATGGAAATTGAACCATTAATTTTTTTTTCTATTATATAAATGATCTGTTCATTATTTCTATAGATAGTTTTGCTTACAATACTACTACTACCACTACTACTAATAATAAGTAGTATATACAATGAAATATGGTAGTATATGAATAATATACTCATGTCTGTATATAGATATATATATATATATATATATATGTATCTGTGATTTATAACCATTTGTTTATCTTAATTAAGAAGGTGAATAGTGTATAAAAAATTGAGTGGAGAAGAAAAAGTTCTACCATTTTGAATTATATGTAGTTTCGAAGCATCATTGTTAATATACATTGAATCTGTAAACAATCAATTACAAAAATGGGGGGGGGAGAAATTAACTTTCAAATGAAGAAAGAAAACAACAAAACAAAAAGAATCCGTTATCAACATTCTAATGAATAGGTTAGATACATACACAATCATAAAGGTTGACCATCATTAATCTTTAAAAAAAAATTTTTTAAATTAAATAAGAACACAATAAATATAAATAAACAAAACTATACATAATGAATGATTAGTAATCAATAAAGTTATACTTTTTTTTACACAGTTGTCATAGTAACTAATGTTGTATTATTATCAACATTTTTATTGATTGAAGAAGAATTTGTTGTTGTCAGCACTAAATTTTTATGTGAATTTTGTTGTGTAATTATATTTAATTGTTTACGTTTTCTATCAGCTTTAGCTTTTTCTAATTGTTTTTTACGTTCTGAACGATTCCAATAACGACCAGTTTTTAATTCACTTATAGCATCATCATCAGTTGTAATACCGGAACGTTCTTCAGCTAAACGTTTAGCTCGTTCTTTAAGAATTCGATTTCTAGAAAATAGAAAATTTCCAATATAAAATATATTAAGCACGAAATAATTGTTTACCACTCGAAATAAGATCGTGGTAGTAATGTATTAAACGAGAACACAGATGAGGATAACCAAATATATTTGAATACTGTTATGTCGATTGCTTGAGTGCCCTGTTTAATATATGACGTGATAAGACCGCCAATTAAAGAGGAGTGAATTATCTATCAAAGCAGTGACATACGAAAACCTGTACGAGCAGTCTTGAGCACTTATCAGCCCTGCTTGCTGCCTAGCCCAGCCAGTTAAGTCAAGAACACCAATAATAGCCTCTGCAATATGAATCATTTATTTCAAACATACTGGGTTTATATACCAATCAAACATACCACATCGTACCATAAAATAGAAAATAACATTTGCACAAGATTCAGTTCAAAGTGGCTGTGAATGTCGGAGACTGTAATTGACAGACTGGATATAACTCAAGAATAGTAAATCGTAAAATAATAGTTCATAGATCCAAATAAAGCTTATAATAAGAGGGATACGAATATGAATAGTTTAGTTACTTAACAATTATACAATAGGAAATATACATATCCTATTGGTCCATAAATAGTCCTCAAAGTTACCATTCATTAATCGCTTTGGGATATAACACTTTTCAGTATGAAATTAAAAGTGTTAAAGATTTTTATAGACAATGAATTGTTGTTACTTCACATCCTATCAAATTTAACAAGAGAACAACAAATCATAAAGTGGGATCTATGGGAGCAATGATAAAGTAATAGTGAATGAAATTACAAATTTGGATTTTAGTACATTCTTATTTATTCAGGAATATATACTTGAAATCATAAGTCAATTGAAGCTAGACCACCATGGAAAACCTGAAAGCACTAGATGGCCGTTTCGTTCTATTGTGGAACTACTCAGCAGTGCGCATACTCGATACTAACTCACGAGACTCAAACTCAGGACCTGACAGTCTCGTGCCACAGCACTTGACCGATAGACCACTGAGCCGGCATCCAACGGTGTTAATGTCTAACTTTAACTAATCCACGAAGTTGAGCAACCATTTCACCAGTGTCTTCAGTGAGTTGATATCTCCCAACAGACCTGGTTGAACTCCATTGGTTGTTGCTTCTCACTAGAACTCCAGGAAATACCTCATGGAGCCAGTCACTAGTGAGAATATGATTAGGAAGTTTAATGTTTGTTTGAAGTAATGACTGAATGAGGAGTGTTTTGCAAGACTATTAAATGTTTATACAAGAGAAGAGATTTATAAATTGATAAACCATGCTTAACTTTTACTGGCTTAGATGTAAATGATAATAGCAGCTACTGATAGCAATGAATCTTTGGATTAGATTCAACATAAAAATATACATCCTTCAGACTTATGTATTCATGGTTGTGTCATTATTAATAAAGGTTCAAGTTATATAGTTGTTCAAGTTCAAATATAAACATTAATGTTATGAGATAAAGGTACATAAACTTGAAGAGTCTTAGACTGGACATAAAGCTCTGCTTAAATACCATCGTTAGTCATAATCTATTAATTCTACTTTGCTAATTTCTTATTAATTTAAGAATTAAAATACTATTAGTCATATTCCACGTTATACTGATCCAACTACATGATTTTGTATGTAGAATTCAGACAACATTTGATAAATCAGTTTTAAAAGATCACAAGTTAGTGTATTCGGTTATCTGGCTGACAGTTCTATTGTTTCTAATCATTTGACAGAAGTAATCGTTTTCTGCTGCTGAGGAGTCTCACAATAGGACGAAACAGCAATCCAGTGCTTCCAGGTTCTCCATGGTGGTTTAGCTTCAATTAACTCTTGATTTTAACTACATAATCGTTTTCTGTTTACATTTCAAATACATGAACGAATAATGAAGGGATCCGGTGCCAAATAACCAAAAAAATAGTAAACTTTACACAAATGTTTATCGTTATTTGAACGAATGGTTTGACAGAAATTAGACGCTGAGTGTTTGGAAGACATTATTTGTATAAATAACATTTGAAAATAATCTCAGCGATTGATTTCTAAATAATTTCAACATTTCGTTCAAAATTAGCCTTGATAACTTTAATTCTGATCATTACCCTGAAGAAGTCTAGATAAGTTTACTGGACAAAACATTGGAATTCATTTAAATTGCAATCGTAGAGATTATTTCATATATAATTTAGTACAAACTGGTCATAATGCCAGTATAAGCAAATCCTTTTCAATTATTTATAGGGTCAGTAATATTTTTTGCCAAAGTTTGTCAGACTTAAAGTCTTTCAAATAGCTGAAGCAGTAACCATACGAATTAGAGAAACAGGAGCTATGCTTACAAAAGAAATATCTTTAATCACTCCTCCTCCCTTGGTCAACCTCAAGGGCATTTAATCAATCTTAGCTATTGAATGACCTAATTTGACTATTGTACTTATGACCTTTGTAGTCAAATGTAATTGTCTCTGTTATCTTTATCGACAAATCTTCGTATTATTATTATTATTATTACTATTGGTTAAACATCATTAATAGTCTCCTCAATGCATTATTTATTCACTTCGTATTCATCTCACCTTATTATCTCTTACATTTGATCGAATGGTAATTGCATTATTATTTATCTTACCCTATCTAACCATATTTATTCTGATCATGGATCTTAACAATTTTATTCTATTTTAAATCCACTTGGCATTGTTTACTTGAATCTTCCCATTGATGTTTAGGACTGCGATTGATCAGTCTCTTATTGGAATATGTGCACACTGTGAGTATTGCATTGATGTTGCCTTAATTCACAAGCATTATAAACAAAGATGGACAATGGTTAGTAGTGGAATTCAGTTTGACGCATATTTCACCCTATTTGGGACTCGTCAGCTGGATGTACCTGTATCTCAGAGTGGATGTTCACTTTGGGACTCCAACCCAGTACTGTTTACTTCAACCGCTATCACGTTATCCACTTAACCACTATCCATATTTGTTTATTCTATTTTGTTTGACAATCCTAAATTGTACATTGAGTGTCAGTTATTAAAATCTGTAAAAGATTTTCACTTTATACTGTAACTGGATAGATTGTTTTGTTTAAAAGAGTAAACCAAATTTGATTTATAGTTGAAATTCGTGTACTATATTAAAAGTATTGATGATTTATCTCCTATATATCCATCTATCTATCTACCTCACTTTCACTACTTCTCTTTCTTAAGGACAATAACCAATAAGTTATCATGTCAGTTCAAAGGATTGATTTCAATACTACTACTATACTACTACTACTACTCATAATAATAATCATTACTATTATTATTACTTATTCATCCTTGATCCTCATGTCAAATTGCCGCTATTATCTATTGTCTACACATTTACTTATTGAGTCAAGTTAGTTTATGTAAAGAAGTATCTATGATCAAATTAAGGAAATAAAGTGAGTATATATATGAGTAATTGATTGTTTTATTATATTCCCTTTTTCGTGATGTTTGAGAAAAGTAGACAATCCTACTAGAATAAACTGAGCTTGTTTGAATGAATAGTGAATATTCATATAGTGACTTTGTTAATCATCATAAGATTTGTTACATAACATTATGAGTGAAAATATTTTATGAATAAGGGTGTGAGTATTTAGATAAACAAAATAAACTGAGAAGGATAATATCCAAAAAAAGTTGTAATTGATGAAGTGCTAAGAAAATTGAGAAGAAACCACTAAAACTAATACGATCATTAGTTTGAGTTACTTATTATCTCGTGTACTTTGTTGATGTGTTAGGTGACTGGAGTCAATAGGTACCAAACTCTCTTTGACACAGGTTTCATGCTAACTGGTACTGTTGGTGGTTTCTTATCTTACTGATAAGTCGGTTGACTACGGTTCAAATCGCACAAGGAGCATTAGTTCCCTCAAATATGTGAATACACCTAACTGATGAGTGTTAACTAGCATGAAACCAAAATGCCAGGTTTTTTGCTGACTACCTCCAACTATCTAACATCTAAACATAGTACACGTGATATTCATTTACTTCAACTCATTGGCAAATTGTAACCTGTAAGAGATATTCCATGTCTTAAAAAAAGACAATGAAATGAGCTAATATATATATGTCTCATAGGACCTTGGATAAAAGTCAACAAATAGTAAATAAAACCATTTACATGCAGCATCTCATAATATCATCAGGGCATCAGAGTCATAATGAAAAATGATACTAGAGTTTAAATAGATATTTCTTTCTATTTCACCCTTAGATACATAGGAGTTGGAAAAGTATTAGTAATATATTATAACAGAGAATGAACTTGATATACATATGACTTGACACTTAAAAATATATCGAGTCAGTATGGTAGTTTATACAAATTCAGAATCTATGTAACAAATACTTTTCCAGTACATTTTTTTCTTTTTTGAAACTGTGACAACGTCATTTGAGAGCAAACTGGAGTAAAATGAGATTGTTTTTTTATTATATTACTACAATGTTTTATCCTAAACCGTAATCCTTTCGGTACTTTTCATATGAATCGATATATTGATTTTATTATGTAATCGGTCAGTCAGATAGTTATAAGTAGAATCTGACCCATATGTTTGTCCGTTCAAGTTGCCCAAATATATTACCATAGCGAGATAAAGTAATCAAAGCAAATACTATAATAAGAGTAGTAGTAACTGGATCAGAGCTAGTAAGATATATTAGGGATGAGCGATATCATTCAAGAAGGAAGGATGGATTTCTAGAATGGAGAAGTATAATATACTTTTAAAAAACTCAAAATCTAAACAAATGCAAAAGGTGAATGGATTTGTGCCATTGTCGCTGATTATGAGCTGCTACTAAAAATCATTAACTATTGGTCTAGAATAGTTTGACACACTGACATGGATTAGTCTAACCACCAGTAGCTTTTGGACTGATTCAGTGCACTAGGTTAGCAACCTCCAGCCTCCTTAAAGGCTGCTCACACACCAACAAATCTATTGTGAGTATATTTATAAATATATACATATGCATAAGTGCTCACCTTATCGGTCGCCGAGTTATATAACGTGTTCCATCTGGGCGTTTTTTAACTACCCATTCCATCATATTCCAATTGTCCATTGGATAAGCTTGTCCAGGTAGAGGCATGCCAGTAGCTGTAATGGTAGATGTGGCAGCAGTAGAAGATGAGGAAGAAACAGCACCAGTAATGACCGAGGCGCTCACAGCAGTATTTTGATATTGTTTAGAATGACATGTTGCTGATGTGTACATTGGATGAGGATAAATGGGAGGATAGCCTATGGAAGATAAATATGGATTGAACAATCTGGGGTGTGATGGATTTTCTACTTTTATTTTAATTAATTCAGCATGGTTGGCAATACATGGAGTATAGGATGAATTATTATTATTACTATTAATATTATTATCATTTATTAGAACAGATGACCAGTAATTAGGCTTAGATAGGAGATTAGAACAATCTTCTGTTCTATTCATAGATAGTCCTGGAATAGAATTACTTGGATCTGTTGATATAGATTTCATTGGATATTGATCACCGATTGGTTCATCATGTATAGTTACAGAGGCATATGGTGTTTCGTAAATATCTGAAAGGATCGGTTCTTCGTTCTAAAAAACAATAAATGAAATCATGAAAAATAGATTATATAAGATAACATTATTAATCTGTACAGACAACTTGTAGAATCGTCCTCGGTTCCATTGAAGACCATATAAAAGCATATGGAATTTCAAAAGAACTCGGGTCAATAGTCAATAACGACTGCTTAGATTAAGCGATCTTCAAATTCGGACATGTTAGTAGAGCATTTCGAGATAATTATGTTTAACATAAGTCACGCATATTCTAATGATATTAGTCAGTAATCGTTCATAATCTTATCATTGGATATAGCTTAATTAACATAAGACATATTAGTGATCATATTAACACTAGTCATTTGGTTACATTAGTTTACCTTACTTGTTGTATCCAGGGAGCAGTCATTAATATCATGTTTGCCTAACTTTTAATTCTGATAAAATTTAATCGATAATGGTGCTATATAACCATTTGTATAAGTAAGTCAATAGAATTCTATCCGTTTTAAAGAAGAGATAAACGTAAACGACCTTTTTTAACCGATGAACGTAGATCGGATTACTTTGTTGTTAACTATACTTAAAGTGTAAAAACTACTAAGACTATTCAAGGAGTTGTACCTTAATAGCAACATCTGATTCATACTAGTTCGAATCTGATGGGTTCAGAATTTTTTTATTAAGTTGGTATAACTGATAGGTAAAGACAGATTACAGCCCCCGAATGCCCTGCTACGGCCGAGATTGGGGAGAGTACGCTCTCCCTCTCTAGATGCTCTCGCACGGCCACGGGTATATAGCCTCTGCCAGAGAAGTCCTACTCACTGCCTTCTCGCGGCATTACTGTTGTTTACGAAATTGTGAGGATGAAGAGCGAATATCCGGTGCTTTAACCGGGTTGGTGGACACGGAGGGTCCACCTAAGTAGGTCAGAAAACCCTGACTCCAAACCAATGATGCACATGGGCTGCAGTATCCTAAGGGAACAAATGGCGTATGAATCAATCGTTGGTCACCGACTACCATGGAAATGCATCTCCTCACGATGCTCCACTGCTTTGTGGATCAGACCTTTATGTTGAAGGCTCGGGGTGTGGCCCCCTAAGGAAACTACCTGCTTCGGTTTGGGCACCTAGGCAGTATCACAACCCTCACACAAATGAAATGAGATTTGTGTGGCACATATATTTCTGGTGCTTCTTTGTACAAATATTTATGTGTTTAAATAAATAAATAAGACAGTAGAATTTGAAACCACCTTGTCAAAAATAATGATGAACAGTAAGAATGTATTTTGAAGAATGTTTAAATAGCTGTTTGCTATTACAGTGATGTAGAAATTTGTAGTACATAAGTATTCTTAGTAGTACTAAATAAATCCAAATCATTGCTTTCATAATTATATCTAAGTGTGCTTTGTTAAAAACTGCATGTACTCTGTTAATTCACTAAATACTTGAAGAAGTATAAGGACAATAAAGTACCTTTTTATCTGGGACATCTTCACAGTACTTTCTACTATTCAATAATGAACTAATTAAGATAAATTATCTAAGTAAAATATCAAAATTCTATAATCTCTATAAACCCTTTGTAATAATAAATATATTTTTTTGTGATATCCCAATTAGTAGAAAATTGTAATTTTGATGGAGTTTTGTTCTCTAAGCTTGATGGTTCGGTCGTAGAGCTTTCATCGTCCTCCTGAACGACATCATCAGCACAAACTTCAGGTAGAAGTGGAATATGTGCTGATGATGTCGTTCAGAAGGACGATGAAAGCTCCACAACTGAACCATCCAGCTCAGAGAACAAAACTCCATCAAAATCATTCACTTGAGCTACAAATCTTCTCAACCATTTCAGAAAATTTTATTTCCGATGTTTCATGATCTAATATAGTCCACTTTTTCAGCGTATATAAATAACTGAAGTAGATTTGACACAAGTTCAAACAGAACAAATAGAAAAATGGAAATAATTTTAGTACAGTCAAAATAATAATATATCAATGTTAAATTCAACTTAGTATTGTTTGTTTGAATCCTCCCATCGATTTGTTAGGACTGCAACTGGTCAGTCTCTAATTGGCATATGTGCATACTGTGCGTATTGCCTCGATATACCTTAATTCACAAGCATGGTTATCAGAGATGGATAGTGGCTAGCAGTGGAATCCAGTTTGACGCGCGTTTCGTCCTATTTGGAACTCGTCAGCTGGATGTACCTGCATCTCAGAGTTGATGTTCACTCTGGGACTCGAACCCAGTACCCTCGCTTCAAACGCCATCGCGTTATCCACTCGGCCACTGAGTCCTGATAGCCACTTGCTTGTGCGATGGGGTGAAGTTTAAATTCAACTTAGTATTGTTTGTTTGAATCTTCCCATCGATTTGTTAGGACTGCAACTGGTCAGTCTCTATCAATGTTAAGTTAGTTTTAGTCAAGGTAAATTAGTATGAAATGTCACTAAATTAATTTGTAGATCAGAAGATGGATATGATAAATGTACACGTTTGTAATATAAAGTTGTAACGTTGAAATTGAGTGTATATTTATGTGTGTATAGATTGTATGGAAAATGAATAATGTCAAATGTGGTTATTTGGATAAACAGTCCAGGTTGAATGAATATTCAAATCTTCCTTCCTATTGAGGGCAGAGAGCTTTAGCATTATGTAAAATAATTCGGCTACTTGCCTCTCTTTATAGTTGGAAAAATCTTTTTGAATTATTTTGATATTTTTATTATCAATTTGGTGAATATTGAAAATAGAATGTTCTGTTATTGCTGATCTACCTTGCAAACCTTCCAATTCTGCTAGATTATTAGGTCTTTTCGTGTAACATACGCATTCCTTAGTACAAGTCAAAAACCTCACAGAGTGAGTCGCCAATGTAGAACGCATCACAATTAACACAAACTAATCTGTAGACATGATAATGTGATGATTACTGCAATTACAAATAAAGAAACTTTCTAATAGTCCCATTGATTTTAGCCGCTTAAAATTGTCAAGTCTACTCTAAAATCCTCTATGAACCAATTGTTCATGAGCATCAGCTACTGAAATTTCCTCTTTGACCTTGAAATCCCTTACACGCTCCTGATTGGCTCGTTCAAAAATCATAGTCTCACCATAGATACCACAAAAACTATAATGTAATCATTTCAGAAATAAATACTAAAAAAGAATATTAGACAAATCTATGATATTATTATTAGTGAATTCTGGTCTATTATGCAAATACAGAGGGAATTTTCTCACAATGAAAATTTTTGTCCTATGGTATATGATAATCAAATATTGTGGTTACCTAAGCTAAATGATATGCTTTCGTTAACAATCAGTTTCATTATTGTATTACTCAGTATTCGTAATGATAATAATAATTCACTTGGTGTTGTTTACTTGAATCTTCCCATTGATGTTTAGAATTGCAATTGATCAATCTCTTATTGGTACATGTGCATACTGTGCATATTGCCTCGATATAACCTTAATTCACAATCATTATAAGCAAAGATGGATAGTGGTTGGCAGTAGTATATTTAGTTTGACATGCTTTTTATCCTATTTGGGACTTATCAGTTGAATGTACCTGCATATGAGAGTTGATGTGCACTGTGTGACTCGAACCCAGTACTGTTCGCTTCAAACGCCAATCGTGTTACCCACATAGCTAATGAATCCCAGCGTGAGATGCAGGTACATCCAGCTGATGATTCTCAAATAGGATGAAACGCGCGTCAAACTAGATTCCACTACTAACCATTATCCATCTTTGCTTATAATAATAATTATTATAGTTTGACAAACAACCTTTTAATGATATTTTTCTCAGACAATCATGCGTGTTATTTTGTATTCAAGTAACTACTATATGTATATATGTGTTTTGTAATGAATAACCATTTGTATATGTGTACAGATATACCTATGCATATGAACAAATGAACCTAAATGTGAATTGAACATTGATGAATACACTTGTTTTGTTATCCTAGAATCTTATGTCTACCCATTTAAACTAAAATAAATATGAAGATAAATGATGAAAGAGTATGATTCAAACTTCTTTGTTTTACTTTCTTTTTTCTTTCTTCTGATAATAAAATGTCAAGTTTATAAATTATTCTTATTGTTGCTTAGTCTCTAATAGTCATCTTCTAATCTTTCTTATTTTCTTTTTCTTTAAAAAATGTCTAAGCAAGAAATTTACTAGTTTAATGTTTAGTAATTCATAAATTATAAAAGTGATCAAACAAAGATAGATAATGGCTAGCAGTGGAATTCAAGACACGATTTTCATCCCATATAGGACTCATCAGCTGGATGTAACTACATCCTAGAGTTGATGTTCCTGAATTCTATTACTAACCACTATCCATCTTTGCTTAAAAAGCTTGTGACTTCAGGCGATATCAAGGCAGTTCACACAGGATGAATATATGTCAATAAGAGACTAATCAATTGCAGTCCTAAACATCAATGGGAAGATTCAAACAAGCAATACTAAGTGAATTTAAACTTCACCCCATTGCACAAGCAAGTGGCTATCAGGACTCAGTAGCTGAGTGAATAACGTGATAGTCTTTGAAGCGAAAGGTACTGGGTTCGGAGTCCCAGAGTGAACATCAACTCTGAGATGCAGGTACATCCGGCTGACGAATTCCAAATAAGACGAAACGCGCGTCAAACTGGATTCCACTGCTAGCCACTATCCATCTTTGCCTACAATTACACTTTGTTTATATTTTCTCTGCTTTTTTTCTTCTATTCCTTCCCCTCTTTCTTTATTATATGACTTCTCTTTGATTTATTTGTGATTTCGCTCATATCACACTAAGGTATAATCATTTAGGCAAACGTTGTGCATATGCATACATATACACATGTTGCCTAATTCTTACTATGTTCTTTGACGAATAATTCATACTGTACAACATTCATTCACTTATTCACACATAAATTTGAATATTTTGTAATTAATTAATGTGAGGACGTCTCTAAGAAGCTCAGAAGGGGTCGAATATATTCCATCCAATCAGCTTTTGGAAGAATATTCCAGAATCACTACGTATAGCTTCCCTATTCGACAAATGCTAATAGCCCCAGAGTGTGCGGATTGGATAACTATAATGAAGATTTTGTTTTTACTAAAAACTATAAATACCTGATAGTTTTGTACCATAATTGACATTGTGTTGGGAATAACATTCCTACTTACTAGTCTTCTGTCTTCTCTCTTGCGGCGTTGCGAGTTCGATTGTTCAAGTAGTCTTATAGTATGCAGTATAGCAAGAATCAAAGATCTAGATATAACAATTAATGCGTTTCAGTTAAGAGCCTCGTCTCTACTTCAGTAATGTCTCTAGTACAAATACGATTGATTCTATTAAATAAGCCCTTTATTAATTTACGTTTGTAATGAATTGAACAGGGACTATGAAAATTAAAATTAGTAGGAGAGATGATGGTTCCATCCAATATTCTATATATAGAAAGTTGGCATAGATAGGGTAATATCTTGATTTCCTGGGTTCAAATCTCGCAAGGTTGGATCGTGTATGCGCACTTCTAAGGAGTCCCACACTAGGAAGAAATGACCATTCAGTGCTTTCAAGTTTTCCATGATGGTCTACCTTCAATTAATTCATGAATTCAATTATAAAATTTCTAAACAAATAGTTATCCTTACCCCCTTTAAATCATAATATCAATAATAATAATCAACTTACTGTTATATTTGTTTTATCTATATTGATTAATTCATTAAATGATTGATTTAATATTGATTGTTCTTTTTTATTATTTGTTTTCATGATTGTTTTATTTGTTAATGAACAATAAAAATTATCATAAAATTCATATGAATGTAAATTTTTATTGATTATAGATGGGATAGATGTATTGATTATTGATAATTGTTCATTTATATTACTTGTATTATACTTCATAAGGGATATATCCTTTATTGGATAATAACATTCATTACAATATAATGATGGTAATGGATATAATGAATGATTATGTAATTGAGAATATTTTTGTAAATTTTTAATTTTATTTAAATGAATTGATGATGGTAATGATGATTTATCTGAATTCATTAAAACAAAAACAAAAAACTTTTCAATTATTATATGAAATTTGATATTGTTTTAAAAGAAAAGTAAAATAATTTTAATGGTTGAGATCATGAATTCAGTCAATCAGTCAGTTACAATGTAGAACTTCATAAGTACGTACGTATATCAGTTCGAGTTGCCATACCACATTAGCACAAAGATGCAGTTGTCGATTCAAATCCCATAGTGGTAGAAGTAGTAGAAGATTAGAAGCGGTAAACCGAAAGATTAAGGTTTGAAGATACTATTCAAGGAGTATAATACAGTGAAATAAATCTGGAAAGAGAAAAATGATAGGGACATGAAGAATTCAAAAGATTAGAATTTGGTAGGACACAAAGAGTGGATGCACCTTCGCCATTGCAAACGATTTTGAGCCATGTCATTCAAGGTCTCTAACCATCGATTGCTCTCATCTCCCGAATCCCAACCAGGTAGTCTACACCTACCAACATGGCTCAGTCCACTTATCAGTGACTTCATGGATTTTTGCCACGTTTTGGTCTGGCGACCCCTAACTTTCTTCCAACCTACTTCTACACCATAAAATATTGCACGTCGGGCATTCGTTGGTTGGGCATACGTAACACATGTCCCAGCCATCTTAAATGATGAAGTTTCATTACTTCATCAATCGATTTGCCATCCTTACCTAGAACCCGTTTCCTAACAATTGCATTACTTACCCGGTGGTCCCATGGTATACGAGCAATGCTTCGAAGACACCTATGACCGAATACTGGTAGTGTACGAATATCCTCTACTCTTATCGGCCATGTTTCACTGCCATAAAGTAGGACGGAGCGAACTGCTGCACAGTAAACCCGTCCTTTTGTTGCTAGATGGATATCTCGCCTACGCCATAAATGTCGCAAGTTGGCGAAAGCTAGACGAGCCTTCTGTATCCGTGCTGAGATTTCGTCACACACCAGACCACAAGGGCTGATGAGATTCCCAAGATAAGTGAAGTGGTCTACACGCTCAACTACTTCACTCCCTATCATTAGTTCAGGTGTCGCTGCTACCCAATCCTGAAGTAAGATTTTGCACTTCGAGGGAGAGAATCGCATCCCGAACATGCCTTCATTGTTGCTTATAGTGGTCAGAAGATTCTGCATTTTATCAGCGTCTTCACCAAATTGAACTTTGTGCTCGGCGTATTCTAAGTCTACAAGTGACTCTCCCTGTAAAAGTTCAACTCCTGGAGATTTAGATGAAGAAAGTGTTATCTCTAAAAGCATGTCAACGACAAAGTTAAACGAGAATGGGAAGAGTGGACAGCTCTGACGAACACCACTTAAGGTAATCAATTCCGATGACAGTTTGCCATGATTTAATTGAAGCTAGACCACCATGGAAAACCTGGAAGCAGTGGACAGCCGTTTCGTTCTATTGTGGGAATCCTCAGCAGTGTTATTATATTGAAATACTAATTTCAATGGCATGGATATATTCATATATTTATATGAATGTTATCTCAGCTACTTCACTGTTTCGAATCATTTACCTTAATAGAGACTTTGTGAAAGTGTGGACGATTAATCTTTTTATTAAATGATGTTGTGTTATGAATATAAGCTCTACACCACTGAAATCAGCTATTCTATCGTGATTTCCTTTGTTGAGTTCTTAAAGATGGTGTGACCCAGTAGATTGAAACATGATCAGGCATGGTTTAAAATAGAAAGAAGTTTTGATTCCGTTGTTCCTTTGATTTATATCATTTATAAAATTGAGACGAACTCCCTTAAATAAACTTAAATTCTGGCTTGTATTTTCAACTAAACTGTATCACGGTTCTTTCATCACAGTGTGGGACTCCTCACGTATAGGTCCTGGCCTCGCGAGATTCGAACCCAGGACCTATCGATCTCGAGCGTTTACTGTTGTGAAGTCCACAATAGGACGAAACAACCGTCTAATACTTCTAGGTTTTCCATAGTTGTCTTATTTTAATTGACTCATGATCTCAACTATTAAAATTACTATAATATTCACAAGAACCCCTTCAAATAAAAATATAATGGTAAGTAATCAATATGGTTTAAATTGGATGGGAGGAAAGTCGGATAAATATTTTAGACACTGCTGAGGCGCTGGCAATCCATGAACTCAAGCTTGAACTTTGCGTGCAAAAAACGATTCATCCAACCTCTCATTCTTCCTTGGCTCTAATTCCCTTTAGGTGGTATGTTCTGATTTCTTTTTTTCTTCATTTTTATTTGATTATTATCGAATTTTCTAAAATTATTGTTTTGTAATTTTAAACTCCATCTTTGCTTACAATGCTTGTGAATTAAGGCTATATCGAGGGAATATGCATAGTGTGCACATTTGCCAATAAGAGGCTGATCAACTACAGTCCTCAACATCAATGGGAAGATTCAAACAAACAATACTAAGTGAATCTAATTAGTTATTATTATAACCCCATACACGTTTTCTTGATTATTATTGAGTTTTTATTATTATAACCTTTATGTTCGTCGTTTTTCTTGATATCTGTCAATTAGACAATTATCTGACCTGTAAATTATGTTCATCCTTATATTCCTTCTTTAACCCTTGGTTATTGCGTAATCACATTTGTTAATAAGAGTCTGGAATCAATTTATGATGCAATCTTTTGCTATCCTTCTATAGACATGTATATTTTCCATATAACTATAAATACGAATGTACAGCTTAAGAAAATGATTTCGTCGAAAAAAAAAAGATTCTCTTCACTGAATTATCTTTAGTTTTATTGTTTGTTTAGATCTTCCGATTGATGTTTAGGACTGTAATTGATTATTGGCACATGTGCGTCCTGTGTAGATTGCTTCGAGGTTGCCTTAAATCATATGCATTATAAGTAGATATGGATAGTGGCTAGCACTGGAATCCAGGTATATCAACTCTGGAATGTAGGTACATTCAGCTGACAACTCTCATATGGGACGAAACTCATGTCCTGAATTCCAATACTAGCCATCATCCATCTTTGCCTATAATCAATATGCTTATATAAACCAGACTGGATTTTAATGATCTTTTCTGTGATTAATTATCAGAATGAAAAGTTGACTAATGTTCCTGTCATTTATAATCTTTTCTGTTAAGATTTGAGATATTGTTCCTTGAGTAAGTGATCAATCTGGAAACCATAATCCTATCAGGTTTTGTCGTATAAATTGAGTTGTCATAACGGTAAGTATCTTTTAAAAACAAAGTATGACCATCAGTGCTAAGGTTGAAATTGACAGTTACAAATAAACTGAGCATTCGGTGGAAAGTTTGTAAGAAATATACTTTTTGCTACATTCTTATAAATCGCAAACTGTATTTTTGACGTTTCGCGACTTAATGTAATCCACTTCTTCAGAGAGAATAAAAAACCGACATTGCCTAAGGCCACAAGACGTCAGAGATACATTTTTCTTCTCATTGGAATATAGTAAAACATATATTTATTATTCACCTGCGATCATGTTTAAATTCTATATGTAATGTCGAAATCATAAACCGGTTTAATTTAGACTATAGGTGAGAAACTGGAAGCACTAGATCACCGTTTCGCCGTAGTAAAGACTCCTCAGCAGTGAGACTCTACCACTCGTAAGTCGGGAATGAAACCCAAGACCTTCAGTCTCATTCGCGAATGCCTAAATTTTATACCACTGAACTGGTACCCAAAGGTGTTTGTGTCTAAATTCAATCAATCCGCTTTCTGACTAGCCATCTTTTATTGTCTTCGTTGGGTATCAGTCTGACACCCAACACAGATTAGCTCCACTGGTCACGACTTCTCATTAGAACTTAAGAGATTTCCTCTCGAAGTTAGTCACAAGTGCGTACATGATAATTGTCAGTAAGAGGTTGTGGAGATTGCTGAATATCACTGAAATCATGAATCGATCTTAGTTAGATCGGTTTTGACAATTATATGTATAAACGTGTTCGTTTTACAAGAAATCCTATGATGATAGCATCCTTGTAAGTAAACTAATTCAATATGAATTTTTCAGGTGATCAATGTTTATCTAATTTAATTTAGTTTCTGGTTTCAATAGCAATCGTTTATTAAAAATTCTTAATATAAGCTTACCATAAGGTAATAAAAAGTTATTTCTCTTTTATTAGTAAAAATGATCTGGATTATCTTTTTATAATAATAATGTAAGCTAGTCACTAGTTTAACGGATAGCAGCCCACGAATGCCCTGGTATGGCCAAGAGTGGGGAGAGTCCGCTCATCCCCTCCAAATGCTCTCACATAACCACGCGTATATAGCCTCTGTCAGGGAAGTTTTACTCATTGCCTCCTCACACCAGGAGTGTTGTTTACGAAACTAAGAGGACAAAAAGCGAATGTCCGGCACTTTAACCGGGTCAGTGAACACAGAAATACTACCTAGGGGAGTTGGAAAACCCTGATTTCAAACAAATGGTGCACATGGGCTCAAGTATCCTGAGGGAACGAATGGCGTATGAATCAATCGTTGATTGCCGGCTACCATGGGACGGCACCTCCTCACGATGCTCCACTGCCTTGTGGATCAGACCTTTAGGTCAAAGGCTCCGGGTGTGGCCTCCTAAGAAAACCACCTGCTTCGGTTTGGGCACCTGGGCAGTATCCCAGCCCTCACACAAATCAAATGAGATTTGTGTGGCTCATATGTATCTGGTGCTTCCTTGTGCCAAAATTTATGTGTTTAAATAAAATAAAATAACACATTGGCGTTTAAAGTGGAATATTCTGTGTTCAGTTTACAATGTGTACATCAATAAAAGGCTGCACATTCGTATAACTAATGGGTTGAAACACATCATCTTGATTCCATTTTTACTTACAATTCACCTATTCTATTAAGAGGTTTATTATTATGAGATAAATGAAACGAAAAAATAAAGGTAGAATTATTTGAAACTTCATCGTCTCAAATTTATACTATTGAATATCATAAGTAGTTGGTCATTATCTAGGCTAATTTGTTAAATACATTAGTTCTTTACAAATAATTGTATAGTATTCAGTGTATTAAAAGAATCTCAGTGGTCTATCGGCTAAGTGCTCGCTCGCGAGACTGCTAGGTCCTGGGTTCGAATCTCGCGAGGTGGGATCGTAGATGCGCACTACTGAGGAGTCTCATAATATGACGAAACGGCCATCAAACAGTCCTTCTAGGTTTTCCATGATAATCTATCTTCAATTGACTCATAATCTCAACTATTGAAATTACTATAAAATATGTATTAAATTAAACAATACAATCATTTAAATGAAATCTAACCTTCTTTTAGAAATTTCTGCGATTTATGTTCAGTAATCAAATTAGAATTGTGTAATTTTGGATGATGATGATGATGATGTAGGTTGGATTTTTGAAATTTCATATTCGATTTTATAGATAAATCTTTTGTAATATTCATATTACGTTTTTGTTCATTCAATGAACTTGCATTATTATAATTGAATGAATTATGATTAGCATTATTATCTGATGTTGATGGTAATTGTTCATTTGATGATTTATTATTATAATTTCTACCAGAAATGAATGATGATGAAGTTGATGTAGATGGTTCTGGTGAATTGAATTGACGAATGGATGTATAATATGATTCAGTATAATTATTATTATTTGGATCTGGATGAATATATTGATTATTATTATGATTATTATTACTATGAGTAGTATATTGTGAATTCCCATCAATTGACCAATTAGATGATGGACTAAATGAATCATTCGGTGTTATTTGATGATTAGTATTATTAACTTCACTGGAGTTATATTGAGGACGGCTATGATGACGATGGTGGTGATAATGATGTGGATCAGGAAGAACTGCAGATAAAGATAATAGGGAACCGCCTAAATCGGATAATGAAGCAGTTATACCTTCTCCTACACTATTTCCATTATAATGTAAATTACTAATAGTTCTTTTAGGATAATCACTATTAGATAGCGTTGTTACCGGTGGATATTGCGTATTACTATTATTATTACCATCAGTAGTAATACAATGGAAACGTTGATCAGTAATACTTCCATTACTTGTATTGTGATCATTATTAATTATACTATTACTATTGTTATTCACTGATGAATCATTTTGACTTTTTCTACTTTCACTAGTACAATATGCGCTTGTATCTCCGCTGCCATTTAATCTACATTGTTCTAAATGATCTGGATAAATGGAATCAGGTTCGATTAATTTAGTATTAGAATCAGGACAATATGTAGTTTGTTGTTGTTGTTGTTGTTGGGTTTGTGATTCATGACGTTCTGATGAAACTGGACGATCTATAAATGTAACAGAGAAAAATAATCTACATCATAAGTTGTTATATTTTCAATATGTATATACTCTGATAAGTAAAATTATCAAAGTCCATTCGATACAGTTTAATCATATAAAATCAGGTTAGAGGTTTACTCTTACATAAATGATTAGTGATCAAGAAACAAGAATAAATAAATATCAGAAGGGGGTTTTATGGAGATTTTAGTAATTTTATGTAGTTGAGATCATAAGCCAATTGAAGCTAGACCAAAATGGAAAACCTGAAAGCACTGGATGGCCGTTTCGTCTTATTGTGAGACTCCTCAACAGTTCCCATCCATGATTCCAATTCGCTAGATTCCAACCCATATCCTATCAGTCTCGCACGCGAGTGCTTAACCAATAGAACACGGAGCCGGTCGGCATTCAACGGTCTTAATGTATAACTTCAACTAATCCATGAAATTGAGCAACACATCAACCAATGTCTTCAGTGAGTTGATATCTCACAACAGGCCCGGCTGAACTCCACTGGTCACTACTTCTCACTAGAACTCCAGGAAATACCTCATGGATCCATTCACTAGAGAGCATATGATCATTATCAGAAGTCGGGATAGTGGATGCGCACTGTTGAGGAGTACCACGACAGAAAAAATCCTTAAAACTGCAATAAAGATACTTTGTTTATTATTCATTTTCAGAAGGGGTTTTGTGGAGATTTTAGTAATTTTATAGAGTTGAGATCATGAGTCAATTGAAGCTAGACCACCACGGAAAACCTGGAAGCACTGGACGGCCGTTTTGTCCTATTATGGGACTCCTCAACAGTTCGCATCCACGATCCCTTACTCGCGAGATTCAAACCCAGGACCTACCAGTCTCGAGCCAGAGCCCTCAACTGATAGACCACTGAGCCGGTTCGAGACTGGTAGGTCCTGGTTTCGAATCTCGCGAGTGCGGGATCGTGGATGCGCACTGTTGAGGAGTCTAGCTTCAATTGACTCATGATCTCAACTCTATTATTCATTTTATTGATTAGAATCTATTGTAAGTCATGATAATAAAAGATAAAAGATTCACCAAAAAACTTTTTTTCGATAAAAAAGCCCATTTACAAATATTGTAAGCGAAGATGGATAGTGGTTAGCAGTGGAATCCAGTTTGACCCGCGTTTCGTCCTGTTTGGAACTCTTCAGCTGGATGTAATTGAATCTCAGAGTTGACGTTCACTCTGAGACTCGAACCTAGTACTTTTCGCTTCAAACGCCATCACGTTATCCACTCATCTACTGAGTCCTGATAGCCACTTACTTATGCAATAGGATGAAGTTTAAATTCAATTAATATTGTTTGTTTGAATCTTCCTATTTACAAATGACTAATGTAATAGACATATACATGTTCTTTCAAAGTAAATAAAGCATAATGTTTACAAAATAAAAACTTTAATTTCTTTTTCAAATGAATCTATTTATTTATTTATTCGTTTGTTCTAAGATACTTCAATATTTAATGTAAACAAATCGAGAGTTAACTTGGAATATTCTTTGTTTCTCTTTTTTCTTTTTTTTCGGTTCCTTTTTTTCTTTTTTTTCGGTTCCTTTTTTTCTTTTTTTTCGATTCTTTTCTTTTTTTCTTTTTCTTTTCGTAACAAAGTACACATATATACAATCTCTTATATTAGAAACATCTATCATGTAATGAATGATTTACTTAATTATTTATTACCTTCCATACAATTAGACAATGATGATATATACAATGTTTAAACATTAAAAATGGCGGTAAGAATAACAGTAATGGAAAAAAAAGGAAAACAAAAACAAGAAATTGTCATAATACTACTTATGGATTATTATAATATGATGATTCATAAGAATAACAAACAAACAAAGGTACTTTGATTTCTTTTCATTATTGGTTATTAATAATAGATGAATTATGATTATCGATAGTACTACTAGTAGTAGTAATAGTAGTAGTAGTAGTATTATTATCAGTAGTAGTAGTATTAGTAGTAGTAGTTGTAAGAGTATTATTACTATTATATAAACGAATACCCATGATTATAGAAGATGAAAACATAAAACAATTTATAAAGAAATAATATATGTATGAATCAAGATTGAAATGGTTCATTCTAGACATGAACTCCTAAATAGATAGATGTGTATTGAAAAACAAACAAACAAACAAACAAATAATCATCTATTTACACTGTCTATCTCGTTTCTTTAAAGGTGTAATTTGAAGTTGTTTGTTTGTTTGTTTTTCTAATTCAAATGAATTAATGTTGATTATGAATAAAAGATTACATTTGTAATACCGTATTCGAATACTTAACAATTCTATATGTTACATGTACTACACAATGAAGGGGTTCAGTTTAATCTCATATCAGAAAATGGTTAAACACTTCTGATATGTATATATATATATATACTGATAGTATTCAGTCTTGATAATATACACACATATATCCATGTATATTAGTAACATGTATAGAAGAATAGTTGTATAGATATGGTGAAAGAGTTAAAACTAGATTGTTTTCTATATGGATACACCAGGTGATGATTTTTTGGTATAATCCTTAATAGATTTATGATGTATTACAATCAAGTACCCAATGAATGATTTAATTAAGAATGTATGATAGAAAACAAACACCATTATATACATATCATTATCTTTATCTATAATACATTTACTATAAATGTAAAAATAATGAATATTGGTGTGAATCAGGCGTCTGTTTTGTGTAAAGCAACGCTTATGTATATATAACCGAAAGTATATTAAGAAAGATACAAGTTACAATCCACCTGTTTAATAATCCTTTTCTAGTTATTGAATTATTAATGAAAAAGAAATCTGTTCTGATATTAATCAACATATGCTCATTAGTGACTAGCTTCAACAGATATTTTCTGGAGTTCTAATAAGAAGCAATGACCAATGGAGTTCAATCGGATCTGTTGTGAAATAGTAACTTATTGAAGACAATGGTGGACAATGAAATGAAATACCATGTACCTATTTATATTCCATAATTTTGATGTTTAATTATAATTCCTTGAAAAAGCTTTGACCAGATTGCCAGGCGAAACGTTGGATTTACTTCAAATTCATTCACTGAGATTTTACAAATATATTATTCTTCCTATTTAATGTCTTACATCAAATCGGCACCCAAATACTGTGAAACTATTCGCTCTAAATTAAACGAAAGTTCCTATATAAATGGTGGACGATTGCTCCATTTCTTTGATTGCCAGTAGGCTCAGTGATCTAGAGGATAAACGTTTGCGTGCGAGACTGATAGAATATGGGTTGGATTCTCTCGAGGTGTGATCATGGATGTGCACTGTTGAGGAGACCCACAATGGGACGAAACGGCCGTCCAGTGCTTTCAGGTGTTCCATGATGGTCTAGTTTCAATTGACTCATGATCTAAACTATTAACATTATTGCATTTATTGGAAATCTAATAGAAAACCTCATACATAACCTCTCAAACTGTGAACTTGTTTGATTCGTATCTGAATCTCATTACCATCACCAGTTCTTATAAGATTAAGAATAATTCAAGCTGTTGACTACATCTAACCATTTTATCAATTTTAAAATATTCTTTAACTAAGCTTTAATTTAACTTCACTTTTCACTCTAAACAAAAATTCATTCAATCATTAATCTTAATTGAAATTCGCCATATTATTGTACAGATATCAAATCTTGATATCCCTTTCGTGTTTATCACTTAACAAATAAATCAACCTTTATATATAGTTGAAATCATAGGTCAATCGAAGCTAGACCACCATGGAAAACTTGAAGGCACCACCATGGAAAGCCATCCACGATCCCAACGAGATTCAAACTCAGGACCTATCAGTCTCGCGTGCGGGTGCTTAACCACTAGACCACTGAGTCGGTATCCGATTGTGGTAATGTTTAACTTCAACCAATCCACGAAATTAAGCAACCACTCAACAATGTCACCAGTGAGTTGATATCTCTTAACTGGGTTCTGCTTCTCATTAGAACTCCAAGAAATGCCTCAATTTTATGTTTTGAGAGATACTTCTGATTGAAAATAGTATTGATAGCAGTGAAAACAGTATACTATACAAACCAAAATATACATTTTTTGATGTAGCTCTATGGAAAAAAAGTATCATTTACAAGTGATATGAAAAAATATTACATTCTCTCCTCCTCCCCCTTATTTAAAACATAATTTTTATCACTTTATATAGATTATAGAGTTCATTTGTCACTATTGAAAGAGAAAATTATGGTTGATAGACATTGATTTTATGTATAGAATACATTATTTGTCAATTTTAGACATCATGTGTATATGTCTAGGTTGTCAAAGCAATCAAATATATATATTCGAATACTATTTCAGTAGTATTAATATTAGTAGTAGTCATAGTAACTATAGTAATGGAAAGAGGTAACAGACTATTTCCATATAGTTTTCATAGTTATTATGATCAAATTGTTATGGTTATTTATAAGATACGTTTTGTCATGACCATTATTGTCAATATTTTTTAAAAAAAAGATGATAACCATTTTGGGTATTGTCTTATAATTAGGATTAATTATTTAAATATTTTTTATGGGTTAGTAACTAGTAGTAGAATTCAAGATGTATGTTTCGTTTGATTGGGGATTTGTTTGTAAGATGTAGCTAGATTTCGGTATTGATATTCTCACTAATACTTTAATCCTATACATATTTATTTAAATATCAGTAGATTATTTATCAAAGTATATGTTGACGATCTACATCCATCGTCAAGAAGGTGCAACTATTTATAAACAGTTGTTTACGCGAAATAATCAACATTCACTGGTCGGATACTATCACCAACAGCGTTTTATGGGAGAGGACAAACCAGCTTCCAGCTGATGAGGAAATTAGGAAAAGACGTTGGAAGTGGATAGGACATATGTTGAAGAAATCACCAAACTGCATCACGACGCAATCCCTAACTTGGAATCCTGAAGGGAAGCAGAAAAGCGGAAGGCCGAAGAACACATTACGCCGAGAAATAGAAGCAGATATGAAAAGGATGATTGTTTACTGGAAAGAACTGGAGAGGATTGCCTAGGACAGAGTTAAAATGGAGAATGATGGTGTGCATCCTATGCTCCTCGACGAGGGATAACAGCGTAAATGAGTAAGTAATATACTGACAATCTAGTGGAAAGTTGTATCATGTATTAATTCTTAGTAAGGAGCAATCATTATTCAAAGTCATCGGTATAGTGAGTTTGTAGAGATTGAATTTCGCAGTTTACATTACAAACTGATCTTAGTTAAACAATCATTGATAATCAAGAAGTAAAGATCAGCTGTTTCACTCTAGTATGGAACTCTATGGTAAAAACATCCATGAATTCACTAGGAAATCCCTTTATAGACGAAAATAAATCCTGTAAAATCAATATTCATCATTAAAACAATAAGATGACTTGTCTAGGAAGATTATTTGAAGCATATAGCTCAATAGAATTCATAATGTAAATTTACCAGTCTATCATTTTATTTACCATTTAAGTTAATTTTTGGTCCTATTTACATCGATTACCTTTTTGTAAGATTCAAGATTAAATATTATGGTTAAATCCAAATGGTAAACACCAATACCCACTGAGAATATGTCACAGTCAGCTAATAAATAACTATAATGGGATGATGGAGATTGGTAGCTTAGGTGGATGATTTTAGTGGAGTTTTGTTCTCTGAGCTAGATGATTTAGTCGTGCAACTTTCGTCATTCTTCTGAATGACATCATCAGCATAAACTTAAAGCAGAAGTCTTGAGGCTTGTCCTGATGATGTCGTTCAGAAGAACGATGAAAGCTCCAAAACCAAGACATCTAGATCAAAGAACTAAACTTCAGCAATAACCATAATGGATACACCAAATTCCTTTAAACAGAAATTTATTAATTTCAAAAGTAATCACTAACACTTACCTTTAATATTCGATGGAAATCGACTATGGGATAATTTTCCAGTTGTTGTAATTGCTGACATTTTTAAATTTTTATCATGAAATGAACTGCTCGAATCATTTGAACTCATTGAACCCATAATTGATGGTTCCATTCGAGTTCCCATTCGTGGTAACCTAGTTAACAAATTATGATTATTATCTTTGGTAGACAATAACGGTGATCCATTTGAAATTCCTTCATTAGATTTATTAATTATACATTTAGTATTTTGCAAGTTATTATTTCCAGTTGTATAATAACAATTTTCTGTTAGTTGATTTGATAGTTTTGACGATAATGATGATAAGGATGACGTTGTTGTTGTTGTCTCTGTTGGAATGGATGATGAATTGACCCCTGGAGTTGTCGTTGATGTTATCACCTTTGTTGACACTGCTTGTGGTTGTACAATAGAATCATTTCCTCCATATTGACTAGTACAATTATCAACATTAGGTAACGGATATTGTATCCTGTTATAATGCATTTTAGCTTGTACTAATTGTCTACAATGTACTGCTAATGATTGCATTAAACGTCCAAGTTGTACAAGTTCTTGGTCAATTGGATCAATTGGATCGTAATCACTGAATACATCTGATGGAATCGCTAATCTGTGATCTAATGATGTAGCATCTTGTGGTAATGAATTACCAGATGAGTTATTGTTTAAATGGTCATTTTCACATGTTAATTTAGTTATTTGTGCCAATCCATGAATAAAATTTGTACGTTGTTGTTGGTATTGATGATGGTGGTGATGTTGATCGTTATCGATTTCCTACAATTTTTTTTCAAAACAAGCAAAGTTTACGCTTTTTGGGGAAAGAAAATATGTATCAGTAAGAAAGTAGCCAAACAACTTAGCCAATTCAAGGTGAAACTCAGTCACAAGGGCTTCAAAGAAACTAGAGTTCAGAAATTAAATCACCTGTGAATTAGTAATGCAAATGACCAAAAAGGTTTTGTTAATAATGTTTAGTGGCCTGATATCTGACTCCAATTGGATTGTACGAATGATTTTTATCGAATGAATGTTGTCGAAATATACATCCTGGCTACCCTCGTATAGAATCATCGTTTTAAATCGTTTTGGTGAACAACGGAATTAAATAAGTCAAACACGAGAATAAAGTTTCGAATATATATATATATATATATATATATATATATATATATTGTACAACCATTGATCAGAACAAACAGACGATGAAAGAAATGAAACGAAGAAAGCGAATACGAGAGAGCCAAGCGAAACCGACTGGAGTAGGCAGTGTCAGCCTACTCCTTTTAATTGAGCGTTATTCAGTATTCATAGTCAAATCCAATCGAAGCGAGAAGAGGCAAGGCGAGGCGAAACGAGTAATTAACAAGGTCAAAATGTAGCTCAAGAAGAATGAAGAAATTAGTCTGTCGAGAACTAGAATAATCTATATCGGCTGGACATAGGGCTAGCTACTATAAATGTCCGCAAAATTTGAACTATATGCTTTCGTTTACAATTGTTAATTCCTAACAGTTTGAAATAGAAATAAATTGTTTGAATTTACTTCCTCCAGTTGAACTGTTGTAATGCAAAGACTGTAGAATCTAACAACATTAAATTTCCAAACACTGTCGTTAAATTCACTTGGTATTGTTTGTCTGAATCTTTCCGTTGATGTTTAGGACTGCAATTGATCAGTCTCCTATTGGAATATGTGCATACTATGCATGTTGTCTCGATAAAGGCCTACATTTGTGGTAGTAAATGACACATTCATCACCTATGAGATTATATAGTCGTTGAGGTGGATGTGATGCTTTGAATACCAACTCAGTGGTCTAATGGTAGCGATCTCGTCACGAGATATGAAGGCGTTGGTTCTTACTCATCAGTGGTCTTGCATAATCAGTGCTGAAGAGTCCGATACTAGAACGTAACACCAGTTCAGTGATCTCTACTTCTCATTGATACCGGAGTTTACGTCAATCTACTTCAAATACTGTCAACACTTCATGACTAGTCTTGCACCCTTTATGATGTGTATAATCATGCAAGTATGAGGTCAAGTTTTTTTCTTTATTGTACTGGATAATCCACTTCTTTTTTAAGTTAATATAAAGACTTATTCATTAATCAAAATAAATGATGAAGATGCTATCTTCAAAGACTCAGGTATATCGTACATTCATAACCGGTTGAAACAAAAAAAATTACAGAGAAGATTAAAGAAAGAGTTTGGGTTGGGATTAAGATGAGCAAAACATCGTATACAAGATAAATGGGTGACAATATATTATATGTTACTATTCAAATATTGATTGTGTACACAAATTGTTTAATTACTACGATTTTGTAGATTCCTTGTAAATCGCGAGACATCAAACAGTTGTTTTTACTTTGCCTGAAACATTCCAATTGTTCACATCCTTGATTCCCACATGAAGAATAAATGAGAAAATCATAACCTGTGAACCCGTATTAAGTCGCAAGTGGGATAGTGACTCATTAATCAAATTGTATGAAAACCCTGTTGGTGTTTCAGCTTATACCAAGATCATAATTTGTGAACGAACCAATCAGATTTTAGAGATGACAGATCTTGAATTTTGATGACAAATTCATTCATCCATATAGCTAAATAGCATTTCAATTCGTGATAAAAACTTTGAATGTAATTCCTAACCCTGCCATCCTAATTCCTCACACTAATTTATAACCCATATCTAAATCAAGTATGTAGATGGACATTCATGAGGTCAATTTAGCGTCACTGAAAAGACATTCATAAATTATAGTCTCATTGTGTTTGGCTTAACGGAACCAATCATTATTACAAAAATAAAGTATATCAGTGTAAGTTCAATCATTAAATATCATATATTTATGTTCATAAGTATCATTTTGTAAACATTTTTCTTGTATATCAATAACTCCAACAGTAATTATGATTAAATTCTAATTAATTCACTTCATGAATAATTATATAGACCGATCAGCTGTTACGAACCATCATTGATGAACAAGGAAGATCTGATGCAGATGTAAAGGCAATAATTGGCGAAGCAAGGACAGCATTTCTATAATTGAAGAACCTATGGAACTCAAAACAACTGTCAACTTATTTCAAAGTGAGAATCTTCAATACGAACGTCAAGACAGTCCTATTGTACTGAGCTGAAACGTGGGCAGCCTATGCTTCTCCACGAGGGGTAATTATTATTTCCTAAGTTTGTAGCATTCGAATATGAATGTAGTTGAATAAATTGAAATAACTTTTAAATACATACTTGTTCTGAACTTTCTTCTGTACGTGCACTTTCATCAGTTGTTCTACCCATTCCAGAATCTTGATCAGGTCGTTTATAAACCTTGAAATTATTATAAATATGAATAAACAATGTATAGTCAATTAACAATTATCTTTAAATACGGTGAAAATATTATAATTAAATTACAAAATATATCAGCAAAAAGAATTGGAACTATAACTAACTTGCTTCAAAGATAGGGAAAGTTTTGAAACATGCTCGTTCACATCATAGCGAGGTAATAATTTATGGATGAACCAATCAGATATAAGATAAAAGTTCTTGAACTTTGGCGCGAAATTCATTTATCTATTTTGGCTAAATAACGTTTTGGCATTATAGATAATGTCAGTTCATGATGAAAATCCTAAATTTAATTCCTAAGCTTAATCATCAACTGTAAATCAAAATTCCAATTCTTCCCACGGGTTTTTGACTCTTATTTAGTCCTAGTTATAAGGTGGACACTTTCAAAGTCTGTTAAGCGTCACTCAAAGGTCATCTATAAATTATAGTCTCGCACATATCATTTGTGAAACTGTTAATAAATCTATGAAATACTACACAACAATGTGTAATCACGATTGTGGTATATATTTGATTCGAATTCATTTGATCTTGATACGAGCGCATAATCATATAACATATATAACAGTTTTGACAACTTCTATTCCCTTTCATCGGTGGTGAATCTCTCTCGCACGCTCGCTAGAGACATGAATAAACCAGGAGATAATAGCTTACTAGTGTTTTCCAGTCTCTCATTTATTATCAATCTTTGATGAATAAGTCATTTTTATGCTCAGTCAATCTTCGTGATTCACTCAATTAAATGACTTTTAGTTTATAAATTAATCATATGAAATACTATAGAAATGTATAAAATACGAAAAATACTGGATTCAAGTCCTTGTGTCAACATTAACACGGGTATAGACAGATTCAATTGATAAATCTGAAATAGAACAAAATGCTCTGCCTAGATTATGTTGCTTGATAAAATCTATCTACTCTAAAATAGTTGAATATGACAGTAAATGATAATTTAAATCCTACCCAGAAAAACGAAAAACTATATATATATAAACTGTCTACTATGTTACCAACCAGCAGTTTATACATATTTGTTATTATATTAATAATTTTACAGTATAATTCTATGACACTTCTGACTTTCAAAATTCTTTTCACTGCTAAGACAAAGTGTTGTTTTTTTTAAGTTAATGACAGTTCATGTTGAAAAGCTTTTTGTACATTTTGATTATTTCAGTATTGATCAGAAGAGGTTTTTATGGAGATTTCAGTATTTATCAAAGTTGAAATCATGAGTCAATTGAAGCTAGACTACCATGGAAAACATGGAAATACTAGATGGCCGTTTCGTTCTATTAACAATTCATGATTTCAACTATGAAAATATTTCAGTATTGTTTTCTATATTTTTAATCAAATTTGATTAGAGCACAAAAATATCAGTCATAGGGATAATTAAAAAAACAAAACAACAACAACATTAGTTTAAGATGATTAGAGATAATTGACAGAAAACTCTGTTCAATATCCAGACAAATTTATTGTTAATCACGATGGCATACTGATCCATTCAGTAAGATTCAAATCCATGTTATACAGTTTCATGGTCTGAGATAACAATAAAAATCGATCAGTCATTGCCTCCTCATAAGACTGCAATATTCAAAATAGCTTATCATCGAGTAGTGATAAATCAGTTGTCAACGATGATCTTTTTTTTTAATCTTTCCTAGAAACATCTTGTTGTATCCCGAAGAGAATTACGAATGGTAACTTTAGGTCTATTTATGGATCAATGTAATATGCCTACTTCCTATTGTACAATTATTACGTAACTGAACTATTCATATTCGTATTTCTCTTATCATTAACTTTGTTTTGACCTTTGACTTATTATCATACGATTCTTGAGTTATAATCAGTGCTGAGGAGTCCCATAATAGGACGAAACGGCCGTCCAGTGCTTCCAGGTTTTCCATGGTGGTCTAGCTTCAATTGACACATGATCTCAACTCTATAATCAGTTTGTTGATTACTATTCACAGTCACATTCGGCTAAATATTGTACAAATGTTATTATCTATTTTATGGGTCGATATGGCTTGCTTGGTTGATATATAAACTCGGTATGTTTGAAATATAATGATTCATACCACTGAGGCTGTTATTGGTGTTTTGGACTAACTGGCTGGGCTAGGCAGATTGCAGGGCCGATACGTACTCTAGACTGCTCGTACAAGTTTCGTGTCACTGTTCCAATCGACAATTCGCTGTTCTCTAATTGGCGATCTCATCAAGCCACACATCAACTAGGCGTCAACTCGGCCACAAGATATAACACATATTCATATGGAACTCCCTTTTTATGTGGATTAAATTATATGAAGATTTAAATTTGTAAAAAGGAATTTCTTATGGTAAACAAACTATGTGTAACACATATCAGTAAGATATTGAATTTAAGAAAACCATAGTTTACATATAATCATGATACTTTTTGATATTTAAAATCTTACAGTATTTTCATATGCAAAAATCTATATAAGAAATTACAATTATAGTTCGATATGTGAGAAAAAAACCTGTAGAAGTTCCAAATAGTGTTCATGAAGATAATAAACCGTGAAGAAGAAGAAGAATAGTCCGTAAAATGTAATATTAATAATAATAATAATAGTCATAGTAGTAATAGTAGCATAGTGTGTGCTACTAAAGTCGACAGATATAAATAGTATCTCTCACCACCCGAAAATGAAATGCCTGGCGGTAGAAGGTTGGGAAGATTAAAGAGAAAAGAATGGGAACAGAGAGTGGTTGATATGGAAATGAAGGAACAATAAAATCTGAGACAATTAATGAACATTTTACAAATGAAGTATTTACTGTATGGTTCTCAGATTTTACTAAGATATTCTGTAGTGTTATGTCAGAATACATCTGGTTATCCCAGCCTGTATTCTCATTCACTACAGTAGTAGTAGTAGTTATAATAATAATGATAAAGAAGTTTTGTATACGTCATATTGACGGTTATTTAGTTTAGTAATATATGTTGTGGTTCCATTTAACTTTAGTTTCATCTAGCCTATTTTAACAGAAATAATGATGAATGGTGTAACGTATTACTAAATAATAAATATGGCGACTGAGAAGGTAGGGATATCTTTTTTTTCGTTCAATACGATCGATTGTCATATGAATAAAAAGTATTTAATGGTTCAAAGTTTAACACATGAGTTAGTTAGCTAAGATCAATTTTCATTATAAGAAGATAACTGATATATTTTACGTATATTTACGTATAATTTGTAATAAGACCTAGAAAGAGGATACTTAGAATATGATTAATAACAATTCACAATTTAAGTCTAAAAATTACATTGAATCGTGAAGAGAACTGATTACCTTTTAAGCAGAGATGGATAGTGGTTAGCAGTGGAATCCAGTTTGATACGCGTTTCGTCCTATTTGGGACTCGTCAGCTGGATGTACCTGCATCTCAGAGTTGATGTTCACTCTGGGATTCGAACCCAGTACCCTCGCTTCAAATGCCATCGCGTTATGCACTCGGCCACTGAGTCCTGATAGCCACTTGCTTATGAATGAAGGCTATATTGAGGCAATACGCACAGTATGCACATATGCCAATTAGAGACTGACCAGTTGCAGTCCTAACAAATCGATGGGAGGATTCAAACAAACAATACTCAAGGAATTTGATTACCTTATAGACATGAAATTTATACATAACCATATTACCTTCGCCCCTATTTTTTAAATAGTGAGTATGTCAGGAGTATTTTGTTATATAGTTAATAGCTATCATATTCAGTTTTCTGTTTAAGAATAGAAACGATTATCTAAATCTATGGATATAAACCTTCATTAACAGCTTGATTTTGATGATGTGATTGTATTCATCCCTTATAATATGCGAAATCTTACATTCCAGGTAATTCTACAACTTTTCAGTAAAAATAGTTTAATTTACTATCAGACAACTGTTATGTTCACTACTTGGTTAACGCAGAATACGTGCATACAACTACGACACTCGAACGTACATAACCTCACAGTCACACATCAGAAGACAGAATAAAGTTGGAGAAGTATCCAATAGTAGCATGCCACGTTGATATTCTAAAAAGCTCCATTACATTTCGATTAGATGGAAATTCATCGGCTTCTTTAGGACCTCTGGAGGCTTCATCATAGTTCTCGGAAGCCATCTCAACAATTAAAATTAATCATTCTGTTAATTTTTGTGTTCTTTAACGTCTAAGACTATGAAAATGGGTAGATCAAATGCAAATTTCTCAAGGAGCACCAGATTTTATCATTTATCAATTAGCACTCAACTTAAGTCGAGAAGAGTCTTCCGCGAGACTAAACTATATGGACGACCTTTGAACGAATCTAAAATGACCTTTAGAAATATTAGCCAGTCAGAAGACAGTTAGTATACAGTAAAAATATATTATACAAAACTCAAAAATTAAAAGGGATACTGTTCTTTTACATGACTCAAAAACTTATCAACGTTAGATATAGGTTCAGAGTTCTAAAATCATAGTGCATCCGGTACAGGAACTCATCTATGTAGCTACATAGTAGTCGACCTCTGGAACCATGATAAGGTCTCAAAAATTCTTTTAGCCTCGACCACACAGCTTCAATGTTGTTGGTATGTTGGTATGGTTTAGGGTTATGGTTTAGGGTTAAGGATGAGACAATAAATTATGGACGACCTTTGAGCGACGCTAGAGTGACTCTGAGAGTGTCAACATGATAACTAAGACTAAATGAGGGATATAAACCTGTGTGAAGAATTCAAATTATGATTTACAGTTCATAGTTAAGGTTAGGAATTATACTTAAGGTTTTCATCACGAAATGACATCAGCTATAATGCCAAAACTCTATTTATACTAATGGATAATTGAATTTCGCGCCAAAATCTTATGATCACTTCTCTTGTAGACGCTGAATTATCACGTCTTCTCTAAAATCCGTTGTAGACCGACCGT